GAACACACACTCAGGCCCCATGAGGGAATTCCATAATTACCCCTCAAGGTTGGGAGTCCAAGCCATAACCGATGCGCCAACTCTATAATTTAAAAAGAATGAATAAGATAAACAATAACAGTTAAGACTCAAGCGACTTTTTTTTTGGAGCGAAGATTATTTCATTTTCAGCTAAACAAGGCCTATGTATGCTATTCGTAACTACAACGAAGTGATTAACGTAAAGTCTGTCAGTGTCACGCAATAAAAGTGTTTTTTGGTCGGGGAGAAAAACCACAATCGTCCTCGGGGGAGGGGGGGAATGAATATATAGTATTTTCTACATTTATTACCGGTATCATGTATTATTATTATTATATTTTTTTACTGTAAAAGCGACTTTTTTTTTTGGAGCGAAGATTATTTCATTTTCAGCTAAACAAGGCCTATGTATGCTATTCGTAACTACAACGAAGTGATTAACGTAAAGTCTGTCAGTGTCACGCAATAAAAGTGTTTTTTGGTCGGGGAGAAAAACCACAATCGTCCTCGGGGGAGGGGGGGAATGAATATATAGTATTTTCTACATTTATTACCGGTATCATGTATTATTATTATTATATTTTTTTACTGTAAAATCGATTAAATATAAGCCTTTGAAACCCTCAAATTGCCATATTTATGTGGGACTTGCCCCTTGGACCGCCTTCGAAAGATTTTGAGCGACGCCCGACCACGCCAACTTTGTTCTCTTTGGAAGACATCAGCCCCTCGTCGGGTACCTTGACCCCCGGTCGGGCAAATCCTGGCGCCACCCCTGAGTAGGGCATGAACTTATTTGTCCTTATTGTAATAATATTAATAGTAATAGTGTAGTTTTATTTAGCGCACATATCCATAAGATGCTCAGGGCGCTTGATATGTGGACTAGGACTCGATAATTGTAACTCTACTACTTCTACATCAGTGTGCATCTCTAGTTCCATTCTACACTTAAAATAGGTGTAGAAATATAGGCCTATATTAAAAGTTTCATTCAGTAAGCATGATTCCAGACAATGTCCAATAGCTCTGTAATTCCTGCAAAACCAGAGTAATGCGGTAGTCCTCTCAAATCTCGCGAACTGGCACGCGGGTCTCTCTCTTCCGCCAACAAAAAGATATGACCTACGTTGACCTAACAATTGACCAATCATAAACAAGACATTATTGAAAGTCTACTGATAAAAATATTGCTACACACTGGTTATAAAAATTACCTTTGTGTTGGTCCTAATTTGGTAAACTTTTGTATGTTGTTTAACACATAATTAGGTTTATATTTAGATCATAAAATGATTTGTTGTATTTTTGTCCAATAGAATCCGTATTTCTGGTAGACTACTGTTTCCTATGTAAAAACACACTTTGGACGTCACAGTGTGTTCACACTATGGACTACTATGTGAATTTCAGAATGTGTTTCCTGTGTAAGAACACACTGTGGCCACAGTGTGTTTACACTGTGAGCTACATGTGAATTTCACACTGTGTTTTTTTTCTGTGTAAAAGCACACTATGGTCACATGTGTGTTCACACTGAGGACTACTATTAATTTCACACTGTGTTTCCTGTATAAAACTTACTGTGGTCACAGTGTATTTCACTGTGGACTACTAGGCCTATGTGAATTTCACACTGTCTTTCCTGTATATACTTTGGTCACAATGTGTTCACGCTGTGAACTAATATGTGAATTTGACACTGTGTTTTTTTTGTGTAAAAACTCACTGTGAACACAGTGTGTGCACATTGTGGATCACTATGTGAATTTCTCACTGTTTTCAACGTTATAAACACACTTTTGTCACAGTACCCACACCCACACTGTGGACTAGGCCTACTATGTGGATTTGCACACTGTGTACCTGTGACATTTTTCTAAGGGTGGCGGGTAAACTCAGACCTCAGATTTCTAATTTTTCTCGTTCTAGAAAACTTAGATATCTGGGTTATTAGATCTAGAAAACTTTGATCTTTAAATTATCCGACCATACCATTGTTTTGAGGGAATTTATAAATAAAACAGAGAGTTAAAATAAAAAGGTTAATTAATACCTAAATTGTCAGAATTTCCGGGGGTTTCCCCCTTGACCCA